CTCCAACGGTTGTGGTGGCGGTTCGTCGAGTTCCCTCAACTCATCGGCTGCTTGCTCGCCCTCCCCTTCGAAGGCGTCATTCCGACGAGTTTCGGCAGACCTCTGCAGCAGAGTCGAATCGGGTCACTCGATTGCACCGCCTGATTCTTCGGGGCTCCATTCTGCCACTGACGGGAAGGCTTCCCGTGGACTACTAGATCGAGCAGTTAGCACTCTAGGTAGTCTTTTCCGCAATCCCCAGTCTGTGGCTGTGTCCTACCAAAATATTGGGCCTAAAACTCCAAGTAAGGGATCTCCCCCGACTGAAGATAACCATAAAACAAACAGCGTTCGAGCTGGTGGTAAATCCATCGTCTCTGCCTCATTCAAATCATCCTCTAGACGTGAGCCTGTTGTAGCGTTGCCTCGCTCTGCTGGATTCGAGAGGGACGCTCATTTCCTAGAAGGATTTTCTGATCTGCATAGGAAACGGCTTCGAATCCTATCCACACCGGACTACGATTCCGTTGATGCTGGTCGCACAACTGATAGGACTAAACAGAACGCCACTGCTCTTCCATCCGCAAGTAGTCGTAGTAGTATAGCTGTCAAGTCTGATTCTCATCATAACGTCAAAGCTCCTCCACCATCCTCCCAATATACTTTCTCCATGGACTCGGTTGATTCTTCGGATCGGACCGAATTTTGCTCTGCCAATTCTCCTGGTTGTGTTTCGAAGAGGGTTCGTGGTTCTTCTTTCGTCAGTACATCGAGCGCGACGGAGTCTTCCTTCGGTATACTGCGAAATCATGGACGTCTTTCCAAGCGTTCACTTGATCCCGATCATAGCCGGCGGTACCAGACCCTAAGGGACTCTGATGAGGGGGCTACCCTACCTGAACATACATCAGGAACAGATTTTGTATGCGAATCTATGTACGACAAAATTAAGCGTCGGACGAATAAGGAAGCCAAGGAAAGTTTACCAGAACCACTCACAACCTCAGGGGATTTTCGCCCACGAAAGCGACATCACGAAAGCAGGCGAGAACAACAGCAATGCTTAATTGACAACCCTGATTCTCGTAGTTACTCGAAGCCCTACAAGTTGCTAGGATACAACAGTGGCTGTGAGCAGTCCCGATTCTCTTCTAATCGTCGTCGTGTACCGAGTTCATTTGTGGATGCTGCTGACCACATGCCCATCCATTCACGACCGAATGTACTCTCTTCTTGCGAGTCCTCCAGCAAACCTTATCAACGGAGGCATGCCTCTAAACGTTCCACCTCGCCTGACAGCGTCTGTCAGAAACCGAGACCTGGCCGTGATGCTGCTGTCTCCCATCCTAGCAGTACGATAACACGACTAAGCCTGGGTATGAGTGTTCCAATGACTGCTAACTTTCATGCTATTGCCTCATCCCGCAGCAACCGTAAACATAAGTCCTCGACCTCCCACGAGTCCGGTGGTGACAGTGATTTAAAGAGTAGTCTGTGCAGTACTTACCAGTCAGATAGTCAGAACGAATGTGATAGTGATGCGTTTCCCTCCACAGTTGGCCCCCGGTTGAACAAAACCAAACAGTTCTCTCCACCGTTATTTCGTGGTGACAGGATGGAACCAAAACAACGACCTTGGCACCGTTTCGGAACTTCCAGTCGGCATCCTGCCTCTGGTCGACGGAACTCTGCCATCGCCACGTCTAAAAGCTTTCTGCATTCCGAA